ATAAGTGTTGCAAAATTTTTACGAGAAACTAAAATCCAATATAAAACAGAAAACTCAATCCTTCTCACAGCTACTCGGTCAGTAGCTCAGTTCTGGTCCTGTCCGTCTTCATCCTGCGCTAACATGTATATGCGTGTTTGACCTCCTCCTCCAATTCTCAGTTGACCCTTGCTGATGCTGTTGTTGCTCTAGGCGTTGCCTCTTCGGTTCGGGACACACATTTGCAAATTGTCTCTGTCTCTGACAATTGAAACAAGACCTCTGAGTTGCACGACACTCTCCGGCTGCATGGTATCCTCCACAAGCACCACAACGAGGCAAATCAGCAGGTATCTGACGAATAGGTTGGACTGCCTGGGCTGATGGTCGATCGTCACGTCGGCCAGTGATCCTGCGCTTATTCTTCTTATTATCTGATTGGTGATCGGGTTGCCTCTTCTGTCCTGAAACAGAAGGGGGTGGGACTGCAGTGACCGGCTGAGCAGACAGAGCGGAATGCTGGAAAGAGAAAACATGCTCAAGTGGAATCATGCAGCTATCCACTTGTTGTGCCCAGATGACAGTATCAGCAAAAGACATCAGCCCGTGACTCCCAACTAGCACTCGGATATCCTGTCGCAGGTCGTTCATGAACTTGCGAGCTTTCTTTTCATAGGTGTTAACCATGTGCCTAGCAAAGGCATGCATCCGAGTGAAGTTACGGGTATACTCATCTACAGACGTATTCTCCTGGCGAAGGTTCCAGAATTCCCACTCCATCCAGTCGCGGTAACTCTGGGTAAGGTACTTCTCACGGACAATCTCCTTCATTCGGTCCCAGGTCAAGGCTGCACGCTCGGCATCTAGCCTCAGCAGCCAGTAATCAGCCCACCAATCCGAAGCGTCCTCCTCAAGCTGGAAAGTGGCTAGGGTAATACGATGCTCGTCAGAGAGGACAAGCACATAAAAAATGCGATCCAACTTCTTCATCCACTCCGCGACAGCTATCGGGTTCTCCACCCCTGAAAAGGACGGAGGTCGCACACCCTGAAACTGAACCACGAGCTGAGCATAGTCCCAAGCTGGCGTAGGTGGGGCCTGATGAGCATTCACGGGTGGTGCTTGCTGAGCATCCATGGGTGGTGGTTGCTGAGCGTCCACGGGTGGTGCTTGCTGAGCATTCGGATCAACAACGCGATGACAGTCCATATTTATAAAAGATAAACTCATAGATCAACAACCAACAACATAAGGTGGGGGAATTCCTAAGCCCCAAAGATAAACAGATAAGCAACAAGCACAAACTCAAATTAACCCCATACCTTGAGCTGGTGCGGCGAGACGAAGACGAGTTGTGACAACGGTCATAATAAACATTCAACAAATTTCAGAAACAGTCTACAGAAACGCAGACTGGCTCTGATACCAAACTGTAGCGCCCCATTTTTATTTTATTTTGTGACCAATTTTTAACACTGCGTTTACGCACTACAAACCAGACTGGATTACTAACCGGCTACCGAACGGACCAGACCTGACCATGGTATTTCCATTAAACAAACTAGTGCGTAGCCAGTGCGGGTAAATAATATTACATAATAATTAATTTCCATTAAACAAACTAGTGCGATGCACGGGTAAATAATATTAAATAATAATATATTACACTAGTAGTTGATAAAATAATTAAATATACAACAAAAAATGAAAAAAAAAATTATATACTTTGTTGAAGTTGGAAAAAATACATAAAGGAACAATATATAACAATTTATAGTAATAACTAAGTGTATTAACAATATTATTATAAATCTGAGATCTAATTTATAAACATTATTAATTTTATTTATAAATTTTTATTTAAAATACATAAGAGAATAATATGGATAAATCGCAAAATTTGAAAAATAAGATTATTGCAAATTATAGAAATAAGATAACAAACAGATATATATGGAATAGTTTAAATATATGCCCGCATCTGGCCCGCTCGGCACGACTCCTCACCCAGCGTTTGGCCCGCGTCCCAGCCGGCTTAAGGCCCCCGTATTTCCTCCCTGGCAGGTTGAATGTTGGGCCTTTGGGCTAATTTTACCAGCACAGTTTTATTAGAAAGTAGCTCAGTTGGCTTTTTAGCCTATTTTTTAGTCCCGGAAGTCCGTTTTTCATCCCGAAATTATTTTTTAAAACGCTTTTAATATTAGAAAAATTTGGGAAAAATATTTTGAGTCCCAAATCCTATTTCAATTTCTCAAGTCATTTTCCCTTTATTTTGGAGAGTTCCAAGTCCACGAAAAATCCGATAAATCACTTAATCGTTATTTAATGATTAAGTGTGATATTTATTTTGCCCGGTTAATGAGATAAATTATTGTTTATATTTATCTCGCTTATTGTAGATTTTTGAGGTGTCGAGCTCTCATCCTACCGGCTTGTTTGTATTTATCCTACAATTGACCAGGTGGGTGCATTTACGTATGTATTTACAATTTATCGCATATGCTATTCAGTATAAATGTTTGCCTCGATAATTTTGTATGCGTAAGAACCCTAGTCTAGGAGTTCCTATTAGTGCCTTGAGTTTTGCATACCAGTGTGAGGTCACCTGCCTGTGGTCCATGCTACGAGGAGACGCCCCTGCCTGTGGTCTATGCCAGGAGGGGAAATACAGCTCCACTGTCTGCCGGGAGAGGATCCCTTGCCCGTGGTCGATGCCGAGAAGGAAAGTTTTCTCGGTTACCCTCAGCTTGATGGGTTGGGTTGGAGAAGGGAAGCCTCAATGGGTATCTAATCCTGTTCGCTCCCCTTAGAGGGTTGTGTGTGCACAGGAGGATGCATTAGGGTCGTATAGAGGGTTAGACTTAGGATTCTATGCATGCTCGAATTATGGTGATGGATCTTTATGCCGGATATACTGTGTGATAAGGAGAGCATAGTGGTTTTGCTCACCCCCACCCTTTTTCTTTCAGGTTGAGCTGCTGGCGGCGGCGATGCAGGACAAGCGAGTAGTGGTCGTTGTCTTGTATGATATTTGCTTCCGCTTTTGTTATGATGACTTATTATTTCGGATTGTTTTATTATTATGTTATCTTTTCGGGATTATTGTTGACGTTTGTTGAACTTATGTCGTATGTTGGATTTCGAACCTTATGGATGCTTTGAGAAATTTGATAACTGGTTTGAATTACGTTAATCATGTTGGAATCTTTGATGAACATGCCTTGTATGTTATGAGTTGGGTTTTGTAGTCGAGTGATGCCCTTTGACTAAAATTTTAAAATGATTTTTGCGAAAAATTCACTCTGATTTTTATAAATAAATTCGGTAAATTTTTTAAAATAAAACGAGGCGACACAAATAGTATATGGGAAATCGACCTCCGTTGTCTACCGATCTTAAGCTTTGATCTAAGTGTAAGCAAAGAAGATCCTTCATGTCATTTTGCCATATAAGATCCTTCATGTTGATCTACTAATTCTAGTGTGAACACAAAGCAGATGTGACGCCCCCACACACCACCCCAAAAAAAAAAACTTATCTTGAAATTATTAACAACATTCCCATTTATGTAATTATGTTGGTCCGAGGTTCTCAAACATGCCAAGCAAAACAAAACCTTATCAAACCGCTAGTGTATTTGTCACAAACATTGTAAACAACACACTAGTAAATCACCACCAAAAAAAAAAATGTGTTACGAAATGCTACACAGGTCACAGAGTTGCCACCTACAAATTACGGCCCATCACATTCAACCATCAACAGAGCATTATGAGAGATGATCACAAATGTATATGAACACATTAATTTCGATAATACTCACTCATATTCAATGAACTGAAATACATAGATGAGAGGTATAACAGTTTAGTCAAAAGACACTGGATTAATCCACCATATACTAATATTAATTCATGGTGGCTCCTCAATTCTTGCTAACGGTCAATGAAAAGTAGCCGAGATAAACACACTAATCAACTAGTCTGCCAACATAGAATTCCAAAAAACCATTACAGTCATGTAGCCCAACACCAGCTCGATTCCATCACATACTAATATATACTACCTCACGTGTTGTTTCAGAACTAGCACAGGATCAAATCCAGTTTAAAGAATGTTAATACCTGCAAGAAATGAGAATTAACACCGGTTAATCAATCTAAACTAGCTAGGAAGAATACTAGATGATAAAAGCCCCAATCAACAGACCATGTCCACTTCTTGTTCCTCTTCTTTTACTTCATTTTCTTCATCTTCTTCTTACTTTTCCTCTTCTTTTTCTTCATTTTCTTCATCTTCTTCTTACTTTTCCCAATCAAGTTTTTCTGCCCAGTCTTCTCCTTGTCCCAGGTGTGAGGTGATACAAGGGTCTCCAGGCAAAATGAAGGGGAAATCTCGAAAGGCACAGCAATCTCGAAAGGCACAGCAATCTCAGGGGAAAACTCAAAATCCACATCAATCTCGTAAGTGTCGGGAAACTTGAAAGGGCAATCACTATTGAAAGGCACAGCAATCTCGAAAGGCACACCAATATCCTTGGCATTCATCGACATCAACTCACACCCAACGAGCCTCTTGCAACTGAGGTTGAGCAGGAGCTTATTCCAATTTTCTGCAAAAGCAAGCGGCCGCACGAAAACATCGGGATTGATCTTCAGCTGGACAAGCGGAATCCACAATTCCGGGCATTTCATAATCCAGATCACGAACCGGGACTCGTGTGAACAGCCCAAAGAAAGCTGCCCCTCAATCGCATCAACAGTAACAAAGCCCTCTCTTTCAATCTCCTCGGGCATCCCAACCTTAAACTCCTTCGCGTGTACGAGGCTGAAACCATATAACTTCGCTTCAGACGGATGCGGATCAGGCCACATCTGGTCAATCGTGTAAAGGACCCCGTCGACATGGGCGGGCCAATGGCGGTTAATATGGAGCGTACTGGTCCTGTTCCAGGAATTCGACCTCAAGCCGTAAATCGAGTACTCGGACGTCGACAACGGAAAGGGCCTCTTGAACATGTATTGCAATTCCTTGACGACCTTGTAGTCATCGTTTACTGGGTCGTATCCGAACCCGTACGTGGTTCTGCAGATATGAGGCTCTTCCGGTGGTTGACAATAGCGGGGGCACGCGGGCAAGACCTTGTGCTCTCTCGTGAAAGGGTTCCACAGCACGGGAGGGGCCGGCTCCCTCATCACAACAACCATGCCGTTGACGGAGTTTGAAATCGCGTGCTCGTCCTTTTCATCGTACTTGAATGCAGGCTCGAAGGACTCCACCTTCTCGAGCGCGGCCAGGCTCATCCAGCAGAAGCCGTTTAAGCCGTTGATGAGATTCCGGTTCGAGCGCCGTGCGTCCAGTGACCGACGCAAGTGCGCTTTCGCGAAGTTCTCGCTGTCTATCAGAGAACACCACGATTTCTGGACGGCGCGGAAGCGCTTGAGGGTCTTCACTGGGAGGCGGCTGAGGATGTCCTCGGTGACATCCAACGGCAGTGGGACTTGCTCCGGGAGGACGACGTTCATGGCTGCTGGGGGCACATCGGACATTTTTAGGTTGGGGTGAGAATTCAATCAATTTTTATTTAGGTTTTGCGCCGCAAGTGAGCATGCCCAAATGGTTGTGTGGATAAGCTATTTATACCAAGAGTTAAACATTCATCTTCATCCCTTATCTCTACATTTTACTCTACATCAAATATATTATTTTTTTTATTTCTTATTTCAAATAAATTGATATAGATATATATATATATATATATATATATATATATATATATAGGGGACGGATCTAATGAGACCACTCTTTAAAATGAGTACGTGAGACTCAATCGTAGCCACTCATTTTGTCTAGATCACCATCAATTAAAATATACATTAGTTAAATAATAAAATAATTATTAGTTGACTCCGGCATTGACCGTTGACTTCCGGCAAAAATAGTTGACTTTCGGTGAAAATCGTTGACTCCCGCGTTGACCCGTTGACAACTAAACAAGCAGCAAGAAAGAAATAACCTAGGAACAAAACACAACTAACCTAGCAGTTACAGGTACTAACCTAGCAACAATAGACAACTAACCTAGCAGCTTGGACCCACACACGTTTCAGACCCACACACCTGCTGACTACCTTGCCAGCCTTGGCGCCACCATACCAGACCTACACACGTTTCAGACCAGCACAGCTCCACTCCACCTTCGCACACTTGTTCGGATGGACCAGCTTGGATATCCGTCGTTCCGCTTTTAGTAGATTAGGTTTATTGCTTTCATTAGATTAGACTTGTATTCCGGGCACCTGTTAGCCCATAGTCAGACTTTGTACTGTTATTTCTGTTTTGTTTTGCTTGTGAGACTCTGTAGACTGTAGACTGTTGATATTTTGGGCCCCGTTTTGGGGTCTTGATCTACGCACAGGTTGGGGATCCAGCCCAATCCCCCGCCCGTCCGGGGCGATGTTTGTTTTAAAAAAAAACCTAGCAGCAAGAAAGAAATAACCTAGCAACTTAAGACAACTAACCTAACAACAAAACTCAACTAACCTAGCAGCTACAAATAACTAACCTAGCAACAACAGACAACTAACTTAACAGCAAGAAAGAAATAACCTAACAACAAAAGACAACTAACCTAGCAACAGAGAAAATTCTCTCACCTCTCTCTAGTTTTTTCTCTCTAAAATTCACCTCATCCTCCCTCATCCTCTCCGACCACCTCTCCTTGGCCACCAGCCTCGCATAGCCAACCTCTCCGGCCGCCAGGAATATTTCTTTTTTATTTTTATCCCCCTCTCTTCGCTCGCATTAATGGCCCGTCCACAGCTCCCATTCCAGTCAATCCCGCCAACCCTCCCCCAAGCTCAGGTCATCATCTCACCGGACCTTCTTAACCGGGTACAGCTCCCGAAATTCTAGCAATTTATTGCGGCTTTGCTGGGCAGATTTTCTCCTGTTGAAGACGGGTTTTTTCCACCCTCTGTGACCAAAAATACGATTGGTCCCGACGGTGTCATCTCAGAACCGCGGCCGGTAGGTATCCGATGGCTGGCAGTGTTTGGGTCATTGCAGTCGGATTCCCTCTCACCAAACATCCTGATATAGCCACATAAGGATAACCCGACCCAGAGGCTCCTTACTCGACCGGTGAACCACTCGAACAACTCGCATGTCGACATGCTCCGTCTACATACTCAAATCGACTTCCCTAAAGTCGATTCTACTGAGAGAAATCGAGAAGAGGCAGAAATCGGTTTAGTCGACTCTCGCAAGTCGACCTTAGTCTATCGACTTTCACTAGTCGATATCAATAGAAAAAGAACAGCAAAAGCGTAACTCCCGAGCATCCCGATATTCTAAGTCGACTCTCAGCAGTCAACTTAACTAAGATGACTCTCTGAAGATGACTTCACCTCAGAGAATTAGCCAAGCGTAGCCTCCGAATCCGCACATATCCACAAGTCGACCTCCTAGCTCTCGAAGTCGACCCCGCACACCTCGAATAACAAAGATATGATGACGACTCATCACACTTGCAGCATAGTTAAAGTTCCACATATTACAAAGGATAAGAAGAAATCTTGTGATGACTCAGCAGCAAGGGGAGGCGAATCGACCGAGGCATTTTGGACCTTCTAGGTCCACCGACTTGGGCATTTTGGATACTTCAAGTAAGTATTCACTCCTATATAAAGGAGGTGAGGTAACCCCAAACCTTAACTCTCATTCATTCCCACTCTCCCCCATAGCTGTTGCGCAGCATCTCTTCATCACTCTCATATTCACTTCAGCGTCGGAGGCTCTACGCCGGAAACACCTCCGGCGTTGAGTTTTTGCAGGTATCTCGCGGTCTAGCAACAATTCAAAGGCGGTTCAAGCAGATCTGAGCTCAAATCCACCGGTTTACTCCAGCTCTGGAGGTAGACCCATCATATTGGCGCCGTCTGCGGGGAGTTCTTGAAGGAAGAAAGAGCTTCACACCGAGCTCCGATCTGTTTGCTGATGGCGAAGAAGGAAGGTTTGCAGAGGAATCTGAACGAGGAGTTCAGGGGAACGTGGATGGACAAGAGGCCACCACCACTCTCCACCACCAAACACCCAGTGATGCAGATGATGGGGATGCCACCATTTGGTGGACCTCCACAACCAGGACTGACGTTGGCAGAGAAACTCCCGTCACTCCGACTGGAGTAAAGTTGCAAGTGTTGACCCAGGCGGGAACCAGTAAAAACCCTAACCCAGATGGAGAGAAGGAACCAACGGAGATGTCTCGACGCGAGGGAAAACAAATACAGGAGGTACCGGAACAGACCCAACTCCGCGTCAAGGAGCAGACCTTGACGATGACGAGGAGCGAAATGCAAAAGATGATCGCTGAAGCAGTGGCTGCCCAGAAGCAGATGGCGCAGGTCGAGCAGCAGCCTCGAGTCAGGTACCCACCTCGGGTCGAGCAGCAGCCCCGTATCGAGTACCCGCCTCGAGTCGAGCAACAACCTCGTGTCGAACAACAAGCCTAGTCAAACGTACAGCAGAATAGAAGGATGGACGAGGAAGAATCCTCCATTCGAACGATAAATCCGCAAGCGAGGGATGAGACGTTGGAATAGCTGTTGGCCCAGGTCCGCGACTTGCAAGCTCGAGTTGGGGGGAAGAAGAGCAGAGGAGCAAAAGGACACCCATTCTTGCAGCAGATCCTGAGAGCCGACTTACCTAAGGGCTTCAGAGAGTTGAACATATGGTACGACGGTTCCACTGACCCGTCTCGACATCTGAGAAGTTTCGAGAACATGGCGGTGCTCCACCGCTACAGCGACCCAGTGCAATGCCGCACTTTCTTGACGACTCTGACAGGGTCGGCCCAGGACTGGTTTCACCAACTACCAGCTGGGTCGATTAGGGATTTTGATGGCTTTAGCTCGAGCTTTCTTAACAAATTTTCAAGTGTGAGGGTACAAGAGAAGTCTTACCTCTCGTTGATTAGCATGCAGCAGAAGAAGGGCGAGTCGTTGTGAGAGTACGTGGCGAGGTTTACAAAGGCGTGTGTCGAGTGCCCAACGGCAACAGAGGAAATCAAATCAGGAGGGTTGACGAGAGGACTACTACCAGAGTTATGCATAAACTCTTTGGCCAAGAGACCTGGTAGAAGCTTTGATGACGTTCTGGGGAGGTGTGCCAAGTATATGAATGTTGAGGAAGCAGAGGCCGACTATTTGCAAAGCGTGAAGATGTCCCAAACTGATGGTCGAGACGACAAAAAGGAGAAGAAGAGCCAGTCGACAGGAGAAAGAAGAGGGTCACCGCGAGCTGACAAGGGTGAAGGACGATCTAGAGGATGGAGGCCGATTCAATACACACCACTGTCGGCTCCTCAGGCAAGAATCTTGGAAGTGATGGAGAGGGAGATCCGTGACGATGTGGTAAGATGGCCACAGACGAGAAAGGATGGACCAGTGAAGCCCAAAAGCAACTTATACTGTAGATGTCACAAAGATTACTGGCACAATACCGATGATTGCCGTCACCTCAAAGACGAGATTGAGAGGTTGATAAAGGCAGGCCACTTGAAGGAGTTCATATGCAAAGATCGCGAGAGGTCGAGCAGGAGGCGGGAAAGAAGTAAGAGTCCTCGCAAGAGGGCGAGATCACCAGAGAAGGAGGAGCTCCCACCGAAAAGAGGAATAATTAATATGATCTTTGGAGGGTCAACGGATGGAGATTCCAACCGAGCAAGAAAGGCGTATGCTCGAGGCCGATATGCGAAAGTCGAGGTACAGCAGGTTGACGAGAGTGGGCCGGTGATGAACTTTGGACCAGCGGATGTTGGGTAAGTCGAGAGACCACATAATGACGCCCTGATGATAACCGCACAAATATCGGGATACGAGGTGCAAAGGGTGTTTGTCGACACCGGAAGTTCTGTAAACATAATTTTCTATGAATGCCTCAGAAGGATGGAGCTTGATATTGAACTTATTGTTAGAGTAGTATACCCAGCGTTCCAATTGGATTGGACGTATTCTACTTGTAAATACGATCTATTGGAATTATATTGTAAATAAGGCAATACTTTATTTTAAGAGTACGTGTTTATACTATAAATGCACTTAAGATAAAATCCCTAGATCACTTATGGTTATAAGGTATGGTTGCGCATAGAGATGGTGATCATGGAACATACCTTGAAAGCCGTGATCTTAAATACAGTTCCAAGTCGACGGATGTTTCGAGAAGGGATATCGAATAATCCATAAAAGACTTGCACATAGTATGTATGCTTGTTGGACAAGAATGTTGCATTCCATCAACATTAGCGTATGACGCAAGTACATTTATGTGGGTGCTTGTTAGAGAACAAGTTCACTGAACGTGACCGTATGAAAATTCTTAATGAAGAATTTATTCAGTCGAATAAGAATTTTCATGTTACAATAGTACATGACTAATCCTTAGGCTTGAGGCACAATGGTAACTTTGTGCATATTACATTCTACTTTGATTTATCCTTTTGGTAGCTAGCACTATCGTATAAAGGGATATTTTGGGTATTATGTTA